ACTGAGCTGACGTGGCCAGGTGGAAATCCAAATAATCAAGTGGTACGTGATTAAAACAATCATTACTAAGACCACAACATCAGTCCGTCCGATAAACATTTTATGACCATCATTTTCACGGGGTCCACTTGATATCTTTGTCATCAAATCATGGCCGTTTGTTCCTTCCTCACGCCATCCCAAATGGAGGTTGAAAGAATTGCCACATTCTTTTCAATTTTAATCTTATATATATTTTTTAGTATAATTAAAGGACACATCATTATTATGCTTATAGTTTCCAACTCAATTACCATAACATAGTACATGTTTTTCATTTTTAATGTTAAAATTTTATATATTTTTTACTTTGATCTATTGAAAAGAAGACACATCAATTTATATTAAAACTAAAGATAGTTGAAAATAAGACATATCATTATTAGTATCTATATGCTAGTAGTGTGTTATTGTCAATCAAATCTAGCATGAAGAAACAAGAACCTTTAAGAAAGTGGGGTACAAATGCACTATGCCGGTGCCCCTTTGATTGCTTCAATATGTTATATCCTTTTTCAACCACAAGTGTATTCAACACATTACATCCCATCCGTTAATTGTTCCATTTTAGGAGTTGCTATCAATTTACTCTGTTTTCTTATTAATTATACGCCTCATGTGTAGGAAGGGATTTGTCTAGATTTTGTTAAAACGACTTAATGTTAGGCTCACTACTTGCCACATATCGAAATCACTAGTGTCACTTTCCCTTCCTACTACCTCCATCATGAACAAATTATCATCATTAAAGCAAAAAAGAAAGGATCAAGTTCATGCACTATATACTATAGCTAATACAAAAGTAACATATATTTTCGATTTATTAGATATTTTTATATGACATGTATAAATCAAGAGATTTGTATATTAAATCATAATTTGAGTTTGTATCCAACTTAAAAGGTGATATGAATAGGGAAAAATGGTGATGGTGTCGTAGGAGGTGGGTAATGTAGACAAGTAGTGAAAGGTTTGAGGATTGATGTGGGGGAGAGGAGACATGCTTAGTTTTGCCATGAGTTGTTTAGGAAATCCATGATTTGGACATGTCAGGGAAGAGGCTTTAATTTATAAGCCTCTCCCATGTGATTGCAAGCAACAACTCCATCTTCTCTCTCATCATATGAAGTGTAAAGTGGCCCAAATCAAACTTTCTATACTTCCCTCCTTGTCAATCTTCCATTCAAAAATTTCAAAATTTCATGTCCCTCTCTTTATCTTCTTCATATTTATACCTATTGGTTTTCCTTTTTTTCTCTTTTTCCTTCTTCCTTTTCTTTGTTTGTTAAATGAGGTGGTTATTTCAAGCTCTCCGCTCTTCTCAAAACATCCTATGCAATACATGCAACATAAACCTTAAGAATAAAAAGAGGCAAAATCATTAATTCAAGGGACAATCTTTATTATTAAAAAGTTGTATTAACAAAAACCTTCTTTGTTTTGTTATATATTATTGATAAGTTCCGAATAAAAAAGAATACACATGAAAAATATATATTTATTATATAGTTTACACATATGGAATAGGGACAATGGCCAGCTAGTTGTGGCCGCCATTTTAGATCACAAATCTTTTAATTTTGGACTTTTAATGGCTTTAGAAAAAAAATGTGGAATTAATTAAGTTGAGAAATCAAACCAAGTTCATGCATATTTATGGGGAGAATATAAAGTAGTATAATTTTAATTGGTTTCTTGACTTTTTAGTTCATTTTCTCTCACTACTAGAAAAAGTTTTATTTTGGATAAAATATTTCAGACAATAAAATATTTTTAAAAAAATAATTTTTGTACAATATTTTTTACAACTTGACATATCATTTAAATTTATGATATTGAATACATTTACTCATTTAATGACATGTAAAAATTGTATAAAAAAATAATATAAAAAAAATTCATCATCTTATTTTTTAACACATCATACAATAAGTTTTTCTTTTAATGTTGGTTGCACAACATAAGGCAACTTCTTATATTTTTTATCTCACTTCATTCGTATGTTTTACAACTCGAATTCAAAATATCTTATTTTTAACAAAAAAAAATTATCACTGAATTATTTAGGTTGTTAATTTGTATAATAAGTAATATAAAAATAATAATTTTTTATTTCTTAAATTCTTTTTCACCCAAACTTAAAATTTAAATTTCAAAATTTTAATTTGAAATCTAAAATTCTCAATTAATTGAGTTGCAATTATATAATATACCATAGAATGAAACTAAATAAATAAACTACATGTTTATGCACTGCCAAAAAAAAAAAAAAAAGCTCGTAATAAGAGTTTAAGATTCTAACAAAGACAGTTAACTTATCTTGTCTAATTCATCATTAAATATATAAAAATAAATAAATAAAATTAAATAACTGGATGTTTATGCATTATAGCTAAAAATTAACGTTAAATTATCACTGGTCTCGTGAAGAGTTGAGAGACTATTTATGTTAATTGACATTAATTTTGAATTATTTACTTTACAATTATATAATTGAGATACTAAAAATTTTAATATATAAAATTTTAATACACAGTAAGAAACTAAATATAAGTTATTATAAATTGA